CATCATCATCATTGTCACCATCATCATCATTGTCACCATCATCAACATCATCATTGTCATCATCATCCGATTGGCCTTCCCCCCCTTACCTAACCTCCCACTCCCCAGGTGCGGGACTCCTGGCCTGTGGCGCGTCGCTATCTGGGAACCTGGTTCGCTTTTGATTTCCTAGCGACCCTGCCCTTCGACACCATCGGCATGGCTGCTGGTCTGGACCATGGGAACGAGTCCCAGTTGATGATTTTGGCGGTGCTCAAGACGCCGCGGCTGCTGCGGCTGTTCAAGTAAGGCAGAGATAAGGATGAGGAAGACCGCGGGGAGGGAACGGGGGAGCAAAATGGAGGGGCGAAGATGCATAATAATCAACAGAGCATTTCGAAGTCAATAAGAATGTTTGATTTCACATCTCCTGTGTGTCTGTTTGTATGTATGTATGTGTGTATGTGTGTTACACCATCGCACTTACATGTTTACCGCTACGCGCCAAATCGCCCAACTGGCTCTCATGCCCATGTGATGCCCACATGATCTCCCCCCGGATACATCCCGCTGTGCCGCACCGCTCCGTTCCTTCCTTTCGGTTATTTAAAGGCTGATGCGGCTGCTGGATCGCATGCGTAACGCCAACCTGTTCAAGGTGCTACAGCTCATCCTGCTCATGATGATGGTGGGTTCAACTGCCATCTATCCAACTATCCACCCGACTATCCATCCAACCACATGGGTCCAACTGCCATCCAACCGTCATCCATTTGTCAAGTAGCGTCGAACTGTCATCATTTGAACTGTGATGGAACCGTAGCACCACAGCACGTCTGTAACGGTCATGTCTGGGCGGCAAACTGGCCAGCGTGTACCGTAAAACTGGCCTACGTGGGTTTGGGGACGCCGTTAAAAGGGCCGTTAAAGAGGGAACACAACAGCGTATCGATCCACACTACTACGGACTGGCCTCCGACCGCTCAGCTCGCTTTTTCCCAAGATGTGAACGGCTCTTTGCCATCCACCAAGCACCCCAACCAAACTACCAGCGAACGGAAACCTTGCAACAAACTAACCAACCGAGGCTAATAGCTACCAGAAAACTAACCAACCACCGGTCTAACAACCCGCTACCCGCAGATCGCGCACTGGCTGGCCTGCGTGTGGTACGTCATCGCCCGGTATGCGCCGGGTGATGAGGAGTGGGGTTTCGACACGCTGGACGACGAGAGCCGGCTTACCTGGTACGTACGACAGTACGACAGCCGCTGCAAGGCTCCGCAAGGCTCCGCAAGGCCCAAGTCAAGCAACACCCCGTCCCTCCATTTTAGAGATATAGGCCGCCAGCAGGTGGCTTTCCTCTGCCGGCGTTTGTTGGCCTGATGGGAAGTCCGACCACATCCGATTCCTTCGTCGTCCCCCCCTATACCTACCGGCTATATGCTGTTCCGCAGGTACCTCTCCGCTTTCTACTATTCGTTCCTGTTGCTCATCGGTGATAACATACAGGTGACACTTACATATACGTGTATATGCGTGCGTGTATACATACATGTACGTAGATACATTACAATTGTACGTACATTAACATTACAATTACAATATATTACATCCCCATACGTAGGTACATTACATGCGCATACACATCCCCGTGATTGAGTGAAGCCGCTTCACCCTTGGCCACTAGCCGGGCAGTCCCTTCTGTCTTACTCGGTGTTTCAGGGCACCCTCATCCTTCTCATCACCCACGATCGCGAGCTTACAGTGGAACAAGTCGGAACTTCGGGAGCGGCGTTATCCCACTTCGGATTAGTTTAGTGTTATGCTATGTGACTTTGTCCATCATCCCCATCGGCTTGTATGAATATCCACCGTCTTTCTGTCAATGGATGGCTGTGCCGGGAATCGAACCTGGAGCTTTCCAGGGACGTAATGATGTCGTGCCTTCGCACATATGTCGTGTCAGAGCTGTGTGTACAGAAAGGCCTGTGTCATATGCATGCATGCAGGCCCTCAATAATTACGAGCGGCTGTTCTTTGTGTTTGCGCTGGTGGCGGGTGCGTGCTTCTACTCGGCCGTGGTGGGTAACATGGCGCTGCTGGTGGCGAACATGAACACGGTGGCAGTGAGGTTCAGGTGCGGGAGGGAGAGGAGAGGAGGGAGAGGAGAGGAGGGAGTGAGGGAGGGAGCAGAGGAGGGAGTGAGGAGAGGAGGGAGAGGAGAGGAGGGAGTGAGGGAGGGAGTGAGGGAGGGAGTGAGGAGAGGAGGGAGAGAGCAGAGGGGGAGAAGGGAGAGAGCAGAGGGAGTGAGGGAGGGACTGAGGAGGGAGAGGAGAGAAGGGGTAGAGAGGGAGAGGGAGGGAAAGAGAACGGATTCTTCGTTTCTTAAAGGATGGGGGGATGGGGGTTTGGGGCCCGGTAGGGGAAAGCGGGCGTCGTGGTACGTGTATGGTTGGTTCCTTCACCTTGCAGCGCCCTGATGTCACCCAACAACTGACCCCTCCTCTTACAACTCGACCTGCAACCTACTCAACCTTCTCTTCCAATTAAAAGGTTACACGCTTCTTGACTGTTCACTGTTGCTGGGTTCCTTGAAAACTGGTTTTCAACCAACAACCAGCTGGGGTTGGTCGTTCCGATGGATGGTTGGCTAGGTTGTATATTGCTCGGGGGCTGACTGATTGACTGTGGCTGATGGCTGGCTGGCTGGCTGGCTGGCCGGCACTCTGAGGCTGCAGGCAGAAGTTGGACATGACGCAGGACGCTCTGAGGTACATGCGTGTACCGGAGGCCCAACGGGAGCGGGTGCAGGTGGGCCTTATATCCTCGGAGAGGAGGGCGCGAAGGGCCTTAAATCCCCCCCGGCGCATGATGCACAAAACTGGGTGGGAAGATTAAACGGTTTGGGGGAGGTAGAAGCGAGGGACGGAGGGGTGTCGTGCAAGACGAAGCACACACACACATACATACATACATACATACATACATACATACATACATACATACATACATACATACATACATACATACATACATACATACATACATACATACATACATACATACATACATACATACATACATACATACATACATACATACATACATACATACGCACACACGCACTGCGCAGTTGGAAGCCCTGTAAACGAAAGGCCCCTGGGGTTTTGATATGGGTCCCGTGTAGGTGCGGATGCCTCCCTCCTCCCTCCCTCCCTTTCCCGTGTGCGTATTCCTCCGGAAGCCCAACCGTCCCTCCAGTTGGAGGCTTCAGCCGTCCCCCCTCCCCTTCCTTCCCATCTGCCTTGAATCTCTATCCGGTTCTGCCCGGGCGCACATGCGGCCCGTCTGAGCTGGCTGTCCGCAAACGTATGGCTACTGCTATTCCACACTCAATACCTCCATGCACACATGCAGGCGTTCTACGACTTCATAACGCAGTTCAGCCACCCGGGCTCGGAGGGGCTGGGGTTCCTTTCCGAGCTGACCAAGGTAAGAGGGGCCACGAAGGGGGTGGTGGTGGTGCGGCGTGGTCGAAGAGGCGATGGGGCTGGGAGGCGAGGGGCAGGGCGCGGTGTGGAGACACGGCATCTCTCACCATCATACATCACCCTGGACGCCGCTGGAGGTGTTCACTTGCTTTGGTACCCGCCCCACATCCGGGGATAATATTTCCTATCCCTTTTCTGCCTCCCGGCCCCCCTCCAACCTCCCCGTTTCCCTCCCTTTCTCTCTTACTTTCTTTTTGTCACTCTCCCCCCTCTGAACACAGCTGGCGTGATTTGCTCATACCGGCCGGCTGCAGTACGTCTTAAGTCACTCCTCACTCTACCTACGTTGCCGTGCTCTCCCTTACCCACCTATGTCATGTGTCCCTTTCCTTTGACCTTACACAGCACCGTTTGGCCCCAACCCTGTCCACCGTTTGCCCCCCCCCCTGTCCACCGTTTGCCCCCCCCCTGTCCACCTCCCCCAAACCTAATAACAGGGGATCAATGAGGACCTTCACATATTCCTGCACAGCAGGGGATCCAAGAAAGTCTATCTTTTCCAGGTGAGAAATGGGTGCGCACGGCACATGTAGACGTACATCCATACGGGACGTACGAAAATATGCTCTCGCTGCTGGTATGGTTATAGTTGTTTTCTAAGCTGGTGCTGATGCTGCTGCGGCGGCCCTGGAGGACGATGGGCAAGCTGCTGGTGCTGAAGTTATTGTCGCTGTTATTGTTCTTGCTGTTGCAGTTATCATCCGTCCTTTGAATTGTGTATGGTATTGTTACAGGGTGGTATAGCTTCACCAGCGGCCCCCTTTCCCTTGGAGGCAGTTCCCTGCTCTCCCCTGCGAGAGGGGCACCCTAATCCATTCACCCCATCCGACTTCAGAATGTATTCGTTGGGTTCAGCAACTCACCGCCAGCGTCCAACCAAATCTAGCGGATCAACGGCGCCTCAACTTAGTTCCTGGTCAGCTCGCAAGTTGATAAAATCACGTCCTACACCGTCCACAAGATGGGGTGCCACCACCCAATTCAACACCCCGCACACACCGAGGGGTCGGCAGGCGGATTTGAACCCGGACACTCGGGGAGCAGAAGTCAGGCCTTAACTTCTGCCAGCCACCTGCCATTGTGCCCTGCGTATATTCTGCCCTGTGTGTATTCTGTTTTTATGTATGTGTCTCTGTCTGTATGTGTGTATGTAGGATTGTGAGCTTGCATTTATTCGGTCGTTAGCCATGAGGATGAAGATTGTGACATTCATACCCGGAGAGGTCATCTTTCGTCAGGTGGGTGGGGTGGGGTGGGGGTGGGCGGGTGGCAGTGGGGGTGGGGGTGTTAAGAGGGAGGGCCGCGAAATGAAGGAGCACAACACAACACAATACAACACAAGCAAACCTCTACCCCACCGACCCTCACCCCTCGTGACTTCAGGGCGACCTGGGTCACGAAATGTACATCATCCGCGCGGGCTGTGTGGCGGTGGTCAGCAAGAACAACGAGGTCATGAGCTTGCTGCAGGTGGGTGCGTTCCTTGCGTCCCCTCTCTCTCCCCAGTGGGGGTTGGGACGTCGGCAGGGGGCAGGCGGGCAGCTGCTGCGATGGGCAGAGAGAGAGAGGACGGCCCGTACCGTCCTCATACATACTTACATACATACATGCCTATATGCTGGTTGCGCCGGCTATCTACCATTCCCTCCTTTCCGCCTGATGCATATGCCCCTGATCCTGACCCGCGTGCCGTTGTGGATATCCCAACCAACAACAACCAACCATTAACCAACCAACGAACCTTGCAGATTGGGGACTTCTTTGGAGAAATAGCGCTATTAACGCAGGTGGGTCGTACAATCACGTGTTGTTTGTTTTGTGTGTGTATTTGTACGTGTGTTTTCTGTTTCTTTGTTTGTTTGTTTCTTTGTTTGTTTGTTTGTTTGTTTGTTTGTTTCTTTGTTTGTTTGTTTCTTTGTTTGTTTGTTTGTGTGTTTATTATAATGAACTCAGCCGCGATAAGGAAGAATGCGGAGTTAGAGCGCACATGCAGGTGCGGCGCAGGAAGGCAATCAATCCTCCGGACTCACACCCGCTCCTTAAGAAAGGTTGCAAGACCCACACCTCATCGACCCAGATTAACCTATGCAGCCCAACCTGGATACGGCTTACGTTAGCGCCAGGGATGTGGATCCAAGTGAACAGAAGCGGGGGCGCCTAATTAGGCCATGTCACGGCGATCCTGTTAATCCAACCCCTGCAATTCCCCCACCAACCCACCAACCCACCCACCCACCCACCCACCAACCCACACTTGCAGGCTCGTCGTACTGCTAAATGCATAGCACTCAGTAATTGCGATTTGGCCATTCTCAACTCTTTTGACATTAAGGTGAGCAGCCCGATGATCATTGTCGTCACCATGGCCATCATCACCACCGTTATGCATCATGATGACAAGATTAATCGTTATGTGTGATATTCGGCTGATGTGGGCACGAGCCTTCCTATCATTGCCTGTGTTGATTCTGCTACTGCTGCTACTGCTACTGCTACTGCTACTGCTGCTACTGCTACTGCTACTGCTACTGCTACTGCAACTGCTACTGCTGCACTTCGCCTTCAAATTAATATGCTGAACTGAACTTAGCCGCTTTTCGTGTCCCTCCCCCCTCCCTCCCTCCCTCCCGTTCGTGGTTCGTCTTTCCCCCCTCCCTTCCCTCCCCATCCCTCCCCTTCCCTCCCCCTCTCATTCCGCAGTTCCTCATGAAGGAGTTCCCACAGAGCGCCAGCCGACTTCAGGAGGCCGCGAGAGAGCGGCTACGGCAGCNGCAAATANCCGGTCGNGCCGNCNCNNCATCCGGCCCGGACGGCGACGGCGACGAGGATCCCGACAAGCGACGGGAGCGGGAGGAGATTCGGCGGCAGCGGAGAACTGTAATTGCGCGCTTCACGACCGGTAGGTGACCTCCTCCGCCAGCCGTTGGGCCTGGAGTTTTGGGACCAATATCGGCGGTTGCATTTGAAAGAAGTGCCCAAGTTATACTTCGACTTTTTTTACCTCCGTTTGCAATGTTTGCGGAGCTGTTTGAGCATAACTTTAGTAATTGGTAAATTTATGCTCGGACAACCGCCCCTTGATTGTATGGTGTTCCTGGTGCTTTTGCCCAGACAGTCGAGGTGGTATACCAGCTCGTCATATTGCAGCAGATATCCTCGGTGTATTAGCTGCTTTATTCTTATTGGACTTATTAGAGTTGTGTGCACTTGTGTGTACGTCCTTCGATTTGTTTACACTTTGGAGTTGAGTCGGGGGAAGTTTGGGGGGGGGGTGCGGACCGAAACGCAGACGGGTAGGTGGGTTGGTTCGGCGGTTGGTGGTTGAACCGAAAGGCTCTTCTCTTTTGCCGCAGGGCGCGGCGGTGTGCAATCATCCAAGGTGCAGGAGGAGGACGCCGATACCGAAGACCGCAGTGCTGGCGGCGGTGGGGGCGGCGGCGATGGCGGTGGCGGTGGCGATGGCGTGGAGCCAGGACTGCCTTCCTTTGTGCATGGGCGGGAGCCGGCGGCCTATCCGTCGCCGGTGGGGACGGCGGGGACGGCGGCGGGCAGCAGCATGACGGAAAGACGCGGCGGTGGCGGTGGCGGTAGCGGCGGCGGCGGCGGTAGCGCCGCCGCAGTACAGGATCCCCCCGAAAGGCTTGACGGCGGCCTGCCGCCGTCTTGCTTTATAGAGAGCAGCCGGAATAGCTACGCCAGCTTAGCGACGGAAGATTCTGCTCGTGAATTCACATCACGGCGCTACACAAATAGCATGACATCGCAGGGGGGTCCGTCAACCGGTGTTTCGGCGTCTGCGTCAGCGGCTAACAGCTGCCGTACATCAGGTACGGGCGCTGCGGCAGCGCCAGCGTCCGCAACTGCGGACGCCGCTGCCGCCGCCGCCGCCGCCGCGGCGGCGGTGGCGGCACCGCCGGGTCTTGTACGATCTGACACGGCCACAGACATTGACGGCAGGCTGCGAGGCCTCATCTCGAATATCGTTGGCGCGTCCACAACGCTGCGCGACGGCCACAACGGCAGCGGCGGTGGCTGCTCCGATGAGCAGGCGGCGGCGGCGCCGTCGATCTGTGGCGCTTTGCCGAGTGTTCGCTTGGCTACGAGCAAACCTCATAACCGAAACTCTAGTACGGCATGTGGCGGCCGCCCCAAGTCGGCCGTTGGCTCTGCGGCAGGCAAAAGCGGCGGCAGCGGCTCAGCGGCTGGAGCTTCTGTGGCTCGGTCGCGGTCGGCGGTGTCGGACGCTCCGGATGCGGATGCGAAGGTGCAAAATGTACGGCAGGCATCGCCGCTGTCTTTGTCCTGGTCGGCATTGTTCACCCGGCGGGCTGACTCGCGAGTAGGAGCTACGTGTACGACACCGACGTCAACGTCGTCACCTTTCCCACGGGCGCAGCAACCATGCCCCGCAACAACAACAACAACAACAACTGACGGAGCCGACGACGCTGCTGTAGAGGATTCAGCCGCCGGAACCGCGAAAATCGTCTCAACCAAGGCGAAAGTGACGGCGCGCGCTGGGGCCGGCGGCGGCGGCACGCCGAACGCCGTCGGATTGATGTCCGATGGAGCCGAATCGGAAGAAACCCTGACGCGCTTTGACGCCGTCGAGCGCTTCCAGCCTCTGGCTCCCAGGCACGGCACACTGTCGCCTACGTCCGCCTCCGGGGCCGCTTCGGTGACGGCCAGCGTAAGTGATGCCGCCGCTGCCGTACGGGAAAGTGAGCCATGGGGCCTCCTGGACCGGTGCGTCGATCGGCCGACGGGGCCGCGCCCTTTGGCGGAGGGTGTTGAGGAGGTCACGCCGCCGTACACGCAGCATGCCGCCGCGTCGTATGCTAGGCTGCGGCCCGCCGCCGCCCCAGCGGCAGCGGCGGCGGCAGACGGGGATGAGGGCACCACCGCTAGTGCAGCGGCGGCGACGGGCGGCGGCGCCATGCGCGGCGTACCGCAGTCACTGGGGAACAGCCGTCGTACATCAAATGTGAGCGTTGCTGAGTCGCGATCTCTCCTCCCGTCGCCGATGCCAAAATCTGTTCACACTCGACGGGAGCGGCGCGTGAGCTTGGTTTTGCCCCATTCGACATGCAGTACGACAGACTTCGCCGCTGCCGTCGCAGCGGCCATAGGAGTGGCGACGGCTCCTCCTCATGCGGCCGCAGCTTCTGCCGCTGGCGGCCGCAGGGGCAGCGCTGGCGGCAGCGGACAAGGATATAGTCACGGGCAAAACCGCAGCTCATGGGCCACAGGTGCAGGCCCTGACGTCGAGCTGCCGTCGGCGGTACTGTACCCTGTGGCAGCGGCGTCGCCTCTGCCGTACGGCGCAGGACACACCGCGGCCGCCGGCGCGTTTCCGTTGCGCACCCTTGAAGGAGCCACTACGCCGTTGCCTCCGCCACCGTCGGCATCGTCACTACCGCCGTACCAGGCACATCACCCGAATGCCCAAGGGCCTGTCTGCTCGATGCGGTCGGCAGCGGCCAGGCGCGCCGAGGCAGCGGCGGTGGTCTTGTATCCCGAACAAGGGGAGAGTCCCTTCTCCATGCGCATCTACGGCACAGAGGGATCCTCTCCTGGCGGCGCCGCCGCTGGCGGAGGTGGCGCGTCAGCTTCTCCTCGCCAGGGTCCCTCACCCTCGCCTACAATGCAGAACCTTGCTGCTGGGCTGGCGATGTCCAGGGCGCAAATAAGGAGGTACCCAGTGCGAGAGGTGTTCCAAAACTGAATGAGCTCCTTGTTGCAGAAAGTCCCCCGGCCCCCTTTCTGTCTTGACGCCCACATGTCCCGCATATATATAAGTATACTTCTTTTGACTGAACGGGCTAAAAAAACTGACGTCAAATTTAGAAACGACAGTAATATATATGAAATATTCCTGAAGGGCTTGTTATTTCCTGAAATATGTTTCGCTTTTTCGTTTCTTTAAGGTGCATCTGTTCGTTTCCTGAGCGGTGTTTGTACCTCCTTGTGACGCGTGCTTGCGGACAGGAGTGGCGGCTACGACGATGCTGGGAGCTGCGCCGGTGACGGCGCGGCGTCTTTGTACGGCATGGGCTCCGTCGAGCTCCCTATCAGCACGGGTCGCAGCTTGGGGCGTGTCGGCAGCACGGACCTGCTGCATCTGGCACCCCCGGGCTATGAGGAGGCGTACGGCGCCGGTGCCGGTGGCGCGGGAGGCACCGGCGCTGGCAGCTGTACGGGAGGGCTCCGTAGCAGTGAGTCCTGAAGGGGCTCGGATTATGTGTTGTTGTTGTTATAGCGGGCTACCGAGCTTCTAAGCCTGGGAGCAAAGAAGCCGAGAGCCAAAGGGCACATCGCCTGACGCAGCATGAACCATATAGTGTGTTGTGTGTGTGGGGGGGGTGGGGGGGTGGGGGGGTGGGGGTTAATTGTGTGGGTCTTTGTTCATGTGGTGTATTTGTGGGTTTTAGCGCGGTAGTGTTGCGTGACTTTGTGTACGTGTGTACGGCGTTTGCTTTTGGCGAAGGCATCTAGTCTGTCGGTCTGACCCGGCGGCCCCGGACTCGTACGATATACATTCGTACGACCTGGCGATAAACGTCGTGCCGTGTTATATTATATTATTTGTAAAAGTGCTGTCTTTTCCAGTGTATGTATATCCAATCCATTTAGTTCTCCAAATCCAAATCCAAATCCAAAAATAAAATCATTATCCAACCTCAAAACTGATGTCCAAATGCAGGTGGCAGCGGCGCCGGCTCCAACGCGGAGCGTCTTGCGCGCTCGAAGCAGATCAGGACGCTGCGTAGGAGTCTTCAAGGGGCGTCGGAGCTTACCGGAGCCCCAGAGGAGGCGGAGCAGTCGCGCCGCGATGATGGCGGCGGCAGTGTCGCCGCCGCCGCCACCGCTGGCGCCAGTGATGACGGCGCCGACGAAGGCTTTGCGCCGACGGTCGAATGGATACCGTCACGGCAAAGTACTGCAAAGCAGCGACGGCACCGCCGACAGTCATCGATTGGAATGTTCTCGCCGCCGCCGCGGTTGGTGCTGCCAGCAGCGGCGGCGGCGGCGTCATCGCCGCCGCTGGGTGCTGCTGGCGGCGGCAACGGCGGTCACGGCAACGCCTGGGTGGCGGTGCAGCTGGCGGAGCTGCAACGCGCGGAGGCCGAACATAATAGGTACCGTACGTGCCGTACATTTTCAGGTAGCTTAGGGCCGGCTGCATGTATCGAACCGTGGCAAGCAATCAACTCTTAAGCGGACATCCATACAGGTGCCGATCCCACCGTGGCCTTGCTGCCTTTCCTAAGCCTGCAGCAATACGAATTCCTCCTCGTGGCCTCCCGCAGGCGTGAAGCTGAGTTGGCACGGCGAGAGGCTGACGTAGAGCGCCGCGAAGTGGAGGTGGCGCAGCGGCAGGCCGAAGCAGTGGCGGCGCTGACGGAGGCGGCAGAGCGGCGGGAGGCGGCGGCGGTGGCGCTGGAGCGTACTCGCTCCGTACACGTCATGCTGTTATCGCTGGCGGCAGCTCTGACGGACCTGGCCTTCAAGGTCCGCTATCTCTGTGCTGCTCCTATGTATGTATGTATGTGTGTGCGTATGTATGTGTGTGTGTATGTATGTGTGTGCGTATGTATGTGTGTGCGTATGTATGTGTGTATATATATGTATGTATATATGTATGTTTTAGGGTTTCTGAGCAGTGGGTTGTCGGGGACCTGGGGACCCGGCCCTGCTGCTGGTGAACAGGACCGTGGTCCCTTCCTGCTGACGCGTCTGTGTTTTTCCGTGTCCCCGCAACCCTCCCCCCGCCTCTACTCCCGTACCCCTGCAACATCCTCTCCTCCCCCATATGGCCGCCCTGTTGCAGGTGGAGCAATTAGATACGCGGCTAGACGACGCCGATGCAGCCGTAGTTAGGATCGAGGCGCAGCACGGCCACAGTCGGAACGCGGGCAATGACTTCTTGGGGTTGAGTCAGGCACCAATGCCGATGCAGGCGGTGACAGTGGTTCCTGGCCGGGATGCACGACCCGGGATGTTGGAACGTAACGCCAGCTTGGATAGGCGCTTTGCGGCCATGGATCGAACCAAGACGCTCAGCGGCCAGCCGGGCACTGGCGGCGGCGGCGGCGGCGGCGGGGGCGGGGGCGGGGGCGGCAACGCTCGGCGATCAAGTGCACTGTTCACCGGTGGCGGCGGCGGCGGCGGCGGTGGTGGTAGTGGGCTTCTGGGAAGTCTCCTGAACAGCGGGGATATCTTCCGGGGTGGAGGGAGACATGCCGCGGAGTTCACCGGCATGGGCAACGACGTCTCGGTTTCCGGTGCGGTGGTGGGAATGCTGGGGGGGGGTGGCGCCCACATTTGTTGTTGTTGTTGAGCGCTCAACTCAAGCCCGTTTCAGAGCTGTTTCTAACGACGGAACCTACTCGAGGGAACCTATTCGGCCCTGTGCATTCGTCTCCCCCCATGTGTTACCGCTTTGTCGGTCAGTCGGTTTCAGGGTCTGTGTTTTGTGATCTGTGTTTTGTGAAACTCGTTCGTTCGCCATCTTCCACCACCTATATACATTTGACATTTGGTGAATGCTGACCACAGGCCGTAGAAGACAGCTCCAGGCATCCAGCATAAGTGGCATCGAGGGGAAAGAAGGAGCGGTGGCAACGGCGGCGGCTGCTGCCACTGCCACTGGCGTTGGTGGCTCCTGCACGAAGGTCAGGCGAGCATCTGCCTTGCGGGCCGACGCATCCTCCTCAATGGCGGTCGGATCTCCGCCGCCGCTTCAGGGACCAGCACCGCGTGGCCTGGCGTCCTCCGGCACAGCGACGGCGACGGCGACGGCGACGGCGACGGCGGGCCCCCAAGTACAAGTTCGTGAATCCTGGCCCTCACCCACTTCCGCATCCATGTCGAGATGGACTACGGCTGCTGCCGT